GCCTGAAACGCTGCAGTTCAGGTAGGCACACCACTCTTCCATTTTCGTAATGGACAGGAGCTTGGCGAGGTCACATGACTCACTGTGCTTTGCGACGCCCTCGGCATACATTCGATAAGTAGACGTGTTCATATTGGGGATTGTGCTCACAGGCGGCAGAAGATCCAACTTTTCCAGGTCATCCATGGTGTGTGAAATTTATTCTAAAGGCATGAATGTAGGCAAGACAGACAGGTGAGACGTTATACAGTCAAAAGAGAACCAAATAGTTTAAAACAAACGTCCTGTTAATTGGAACGCAAAGGCGCCTCGGTTAGTCATATATGAATGATCTACCGATGAGGTGGAGAAATTAATCTGAGCGTCGAACACCATGCACGATAGAATTTTCAGGACACCGAGTTTGCCCATATCGCGGAGCTTCCGTACATAACTCATCGTACAACAGGACGGCACTTAGTCAGTTTGAGTGAAGTTCACCGGCCTGCCTGCAAGATGAATTGCGGACGTTCTATTTAGTCACGGGGCTCCAGTCCAGTGCCTTCGTAAAATACTTTTCGATAAATTTTCCATTCGGTCATTGCAGTGGCAGAAAAAGAAAAATATATAGTAGATGTGCTAACTCATGAACGGACAACCAAAATTTCGAAATGCGTTCTCGTCTCGAAAAGATAAATTAAGTAGTGTTGTAAAACCAATCAAGCTGTAACATAAATCTATAATGATCCGGTTACGTCAGGGTGTCGGCTTTCGGAAGAACTTATTTTCAGCTGCATGCAAGATCTATACTCTGCAAAAAATGACTACTTAGTTAGTATGCAACTTTCTCATTGATTTTCGATGCCCTTAAAAATTCCATTATATTTCGTGGAAAAAATACATAAAAATATTCATTCTTCTACTTTTTCGGCAGAAAATCACGTCTTCTTCCAATTTCATACTTAAAAGAAGGGTATAATTCGGTTTTAAAAAAAACTTTTCTAATTCCCGAATAATTTTGGACCCGACCTGCTGTTACACTTGCATTCAGGGTTTCAAATCCACAAGCCGTATATTTTCCGTGTACGGAAAACCATGCATTTCTCTACGGTGTTGTGAGGAGACCATATGGGGTTCATAAAATTAAGCAGTGGATTTGAGCAATATTGTTAACTTTACAAGCCACATTCGTAAATGCAGATACATGACGTTTCATGAACAGCCATTTAACGGTATTAAAAAATCTCACAACTTTAAACTTTTTTAAAACCGAATTATACCCTTCTTTTGAGCATGAAATTGGAAGAAGACGTGATTTTCTACCAAATATGCAAAAGAATGAATATTTTTATGCATGTTTTCCACGAAATATAGTTGAATTTTCAAGGGCCTCGAGAATCAATGAAAAAATTTCATACTACTTACGTACTCATTTTTTGCAGAGTATAGATCTTGCATGCAGTCGAAAATAAATTTTTTCGAAAGCCGACACCCTGAGGTAACTGGAGCATTATAGATTTATGCTGCATCATGATTGGTTTTACAGCACTACTAAATTTATCTTTTCGAAACGAGAACGCATTTCGAAATTTTCGTTGACATTTCATGAGTTAGCACATCTACTGTATGTTGAAAAGTTAATTCCTGTTTGCCAAAGGAGTTTTGGTAGCTGGAAATGTCACAAGGCAACGTTGTATGACAATCTAATGCATGTACGACAGCTCAGCCGTCATGCCCGACGATGTCAAGCGTGTCCTCCGCCACAAGATGGGGCAGGCACGGCGACTTGCGCGTGAATTAGTTTATAATGGGAGTAGACTTGCGCAGCATCTACCGCACTCTTTACTCCTCCCCCATCTGAGCCCGGTGTCAAGACAAAGACAAGAAGACCGGAGGCGGGGGAAGGAGCGGGTGGCTGGCACGGCCGGAACCGCATCTAGACGTACCCCCACATCCTCTCGTCCACAACAAACACAGGACTGGATTTTAAACAATAACAGCACCACAGCGGGTCAGAAAGACGATGATTTGGTGGCCATGCTCACGACCCGTATACCCAGCGAGAGCGCAAGCGCATCTAACGGCAGGAAAGCAGGTGTCAGAGAACTGCCAGCGCACACCAGGCTGCGAGGGTTATGATCTGTTGCCCCTGGCATAGCAGACGCTTACATTCGTATCAATTTGTTCATTTTGTAAGTATATTCAGATCTTCGCATAACTTTCAGTGCCTCTTTTTCATATCTCCTTTCTTAATCGTCAGCGGAATAAATTGGCTACGCAAACACACCAAAAGTCTGAGGGAGTGACGCCGCGGATCCCGAGCGGTGATGAGTTCATCAGGAAGTTTTCAGAACAGGACCAAAAAGCGCAGCATTCCAGTTCACGAATGCTTGATGAATCCTACACTATATTTACGGATAAAGCCTTTTCTTGAAGGAGCGTCGGTGGTCTTGAAATCGGCTCTTCCTTCAGAAGACGACATACGCAGCGTTATGGTTTAAACAACTAAGAACTTTCGATCCCGACGTCAGGAACCACCCTCAAGACAAGGACATTATTAAGGTGTGTAACCTTTGCACTTCTTCAGAGACCCACGGTAAGTTGTAGACTCTGACAAGGTGGGTAGCACATATTTAGCAGACGATATAAAGTCATGAGTCAGGACATAGAGATTATTACCAGATAGGTCGCGCGACCGACTTACTTCATGCCTAAACTGTCCAAATGGGAATTTGCTGACCTGTAACGTATTCGAGCCAGTAGTTTAGTGGTACGAAACTTTTCTACCCGAACAGGGTTTCGAGAGAAGCCGCGAAACTGCGCAGGTTAGTTAAAAATAATTTTTAGTTCTTATAAATCTTCATTTAGTTGTCGAAATCGAACTTCTTTAAAGAATAGTACAGGGAAGCGGATAACGTAACAATGATTTTGTCCCAAATGTATATCTCCAAAGTCTCCGTTATTCATTTTTCAACAGAAGGAGGCGCATTTTTATGGACCACTAGAAATCAAGTCACATTCGCTACTTGACGACGGGACACCAAGAGCTAGAGATTATACAGTTTAACATCTCACCAATCCTCTGGGAATTGTTAACAGCAGTCTCTTGGCATCCAATGAATTAGGGGATCACGGAAGACGCTTTGGTAGAACTGACGTATTCTTTTCATGCTTAACTAATAATTCGTGAAAAAAAGCCATGGGATGTTTTGGAAAAGCGAGCAGATGCATTATAAAACAACAAAATCCAAATGCTTTATCAACTTTTTTGTTAAAAGGGATTAGGCTGGCGTATTCGGACACAGAGACCAATTAGCCCCTTATTTTGCAACTACTTAGGAAGAAACAGCTTTGCCTCCACAATAACATCGCGCCTCCTGCTAAGAATGGTAATAATTGTAGTACCATTTCAAACCACTGTCATATATGACAAAAGGAGACCGTACTCCTCATTTCATAGGAGTCTTTCACACGCTCATAAATCCAGAATACGCTGGCAAACAACAGGCGTTATAAAAAAGTTACTGTCCCTAAGTTGCTTTGTCCCTAGTGCTAGCGCTGCGGCGAAATACTCTGAGTGGTCATCATGCACTCGTACATGCACTTGGCATATCGAACTGGTTCGACAGTACCGGTTCCGGAGTTTTCTCTTCAATGACTGTTTTTTTAATATCACATAGTAAGCGTTTTGAGTCTTCCGTTTATTTGACATTCTGCGACCTTCGTTTATCAGAAGAAATGTATTATACAAAAGGTTGACATGCTTAAGCTCTTTTATGTTCAAGAAAATGTTTGCCTGGGACTTGGTAAATTCAAACAAGGGAACTATTACTATCGCGTCTGGCTCACGTTTATAAACACAGTGCACGGCAGCCACACCCCACGATTGTCAAAATGAATCAAAAGGCAGACAGACACGTCTGAGGAGCCTGCTCAGTTGTCCCAACCTGTATACGACTATATTACATAGTAAAGTATCCCCTTGCAAACCGCTCGCTTCATACAACAACCGTTGCTGCGAACGTGACCGACGCCTTAGTAGGATATCCTCCAGGTGGCTTTTCACTCGTTCGAAGAGTATGCCAAGTCTTCCTCGAGTCGGCTATCAAGGTAACTCTAGGAAACGTATTCCTTCGAACATGATTTCAAAGAGAGCAGCAGAGATTCCACAGTCTCAGGACGTTGTCCAAATAAACAAGCACGTTAAGTTCAGCTCAAAGGAAGTGAATTTCTACCGAAACGTGTGCCCAAGTCAATTATCGAGCAGGGATTCGGAAATTTTGAAAGCGGTTGGGGGCGAGAAAGAAGGGCAAAGGTGGTTAGAGTCAAGGTTAATTAATTTAAATAACACTGAGCGCAGGCTCTGTATTAGTACGATTTGGTGTCCGTGACGAAAGCTCTTGGCATTCTTCTATGCGCTAGACGGTTGTCGCTT